GACAACCAAGAGAACAGTAAAGGAGTAAAACCAAAGTATACAACTAAGAAAAATATAGAAAACACTAAAAAAAAAAGCAAAAAAAATACGGGGACGGGCCCTACGCAAGCCTCCGCGGCGGCGCCGCGGGCGCCGGGCGCCGGCGCGCCGGGCGCCTCCGCGCCGGCGGGCGGCGCGGGGCCCCGGGGGCTCGCGAGGGCCGGCGCGGCGGGCGCCTCCTCGGCGGGCTCCGGGCTGTTGAGGCCCAGGGGCTGCCCGGGCAGCTCCTGAGATGTGCACAACTAGTTCTGTTGAAGTTGTGGAAGTTGTGGAAGTTATGTAAGATCTGGCAGATCAAAGTAAGATCTGGAAGATCAAGTTAAGATCTGGAAGATCAAGTTCACATCATCAGACACAACTTCCCCACAACTACCACAACTAGCTGTGCACATCACAGTCCTCGGCGGGTTCTGGGCTGTTGAGGCCCAGGGGCTGCCCGGGCGCCTCCTCGGCGGGCTCCGGGCTGTTGAGGCCCAGGGGCTGCCGGGGCGGCGCCGCGGCCGCGGCCGCGGGCTCCATGGCGGGGCGGGGGCGCGGGCCGCGGCCGCGGCGCGGGGCGCCCACTGCCCTGCGCCAGGCCTGGCTGCGGGAGGGGCCCGGGGAGGAGGTCTTCGTCGGGAGGCAGCTGCTGGGAGCAGGGGGCCAAATGCGAACCCTGCCCCTACCCCCCACGATTTCTGAGGGGGAGGGTGGGGTTCACGTCGTTCGGGAGCTCCCGAGCGAAGTGAACCCCACCCTCCCCTCAGAAATCGGTGGGGGGTATGGGTAGGGTTCACATGTGGCCCCCGATTCGTCGGAAGGAGTTAGGAAGATGAGGCCCCACTGGGGGGCTGCTCCGCCAGATTAGGCTGCGGATGAAGCGGGGTCAAGCCGGAGTGAAGCCGGATGAAGCGGGATTAAGCTGGATCAAATTGGATTTCGGACCAGGACAAAGTCAGAATTTGACCTCCCAGGAGTTGCATCCGAAGGAAAGGGCGGAGAAGGGGAGGAATCGGAATCGTAGTCGGACTTGGCATCGAAACAGTTTTTGTCGGCGGCATCTGGTCCGCGCAGCGGTGAAGCAACGCTGGGGCGAAGGCGAAGCGGATTGCGGCGCAGGAGGGCGAAAAAAAGAAGGCAAGAAAAAAGAAACGGAAAGCGGAGGCTGGCATCGGAACAGGCGCAAAGCAACATAGCAGAAGGAAGAGGAGGAGGAGGAGGAGAAGGAGGAGGAGGAGGAGTGCACACAGCCGAGGGGGCGCGAGGAGGAGGAAGAGGAGGAGGAGGAGGAGGAGGAGGAGGAGGCCTGACGAGGACTGCGGCCCAAAACCAGGGAGCTCCGCCCAAGGCTCCAGCGGCTGCGCCCATTTCGGCACCCCTGACGAGGATCGTGCCCCCCCCCCCCACACCTCACAATAACCCCCCCCCCGCAACACCCACCCCTCGTTGGGCCCCTTCTGTTGCGACCCCCGGGTCGGGGCGTCCCGCCCTTAGAAACAACAACAACAACAACAACAACAACAACAACAACAACAACAACAACAACAACAACAACAACAACAACAACAACAACAACAACAACAACAACAACAACAACAACCACCGCAGCAGCAGCAGCAACAGCAACAGCAACAGCAACAGCAACACCAACAACCACAACAATGACGACAACAGCAACAATCATGTTAAGACTGTTCACTCTGATCTGTTCGCGTGACATGTCCCAAACCATCGATACCCGCCCTCTCCGTCCTTGATCGTACCCCCTTAGCGGTATATCTCTCTTACCTGCAACGTGTATTTCGTGCAACCCCTAAGGCAGGGGAAGAGAAGACGGATGGAAGGAAGGGACAAGGGGGAGGGAGGAGGGTGAAGCACGACAGGGAATAGCAAGAGGGGGGCTAGGAGCAGAAAACACGTGGCAGAACCAGACGGACAAATCGGGCGGGTAAATCCTAACGGGCGGGTCGGGAAGGCGGGCCCAGGCGGCCAGGTCGAGCAGGCGGGTTGCTGAAACGTGCGTCCTGCATACATCGCGAGGAAGTCTCGGCGATTCCCAAGTAAATCGTGAGAAAGGCGCGAAAGCGTGATTCCTGACTGTCGAGGGCGCGGCGTCCGAATAAATGGCGAGGAGGTCCCACGCGAGAGCGAGATTCCTGCATAGATTGTGAAGAAGTCCCGCGCGAGAGCGCGATTCGAATAAATTGAGGTTTTGCTGGTCTCAGACACACTGCATGTACATTCACGTTATGCACATGTGTAACACAGCAGATCGTTGAAGGCAACGTTTTTGTCTTGTGTGTGGCTCAAGCTGCTGAGAAAAGATCCCCTCCTTCTCCCCGACCATATTCGCATGGTAGCTGGAGCGTAGGCTTCGAGGAGATCCATTGTCGCTGCTGAGAAAAGATCCCCGACCATATTCGCATGGTAGCTGGAGCGTAGGCTTCGAGGAGATCCATTGTGACGCCCTCGACCCGACGGCGACTGTCGAGGAGCCGGCACGGCAGCCGGCGGCGCTGCAGCAGGAGCTGTCAGGGACTCGAGAGGTGGTCACGAGGCAGCACGCGCAGATCGGCCAGCTCGAGACGGCGGCGGCGGCGGGCCAGGCGGGCCAAAGGGGCGTACCTCCACCGCCAGCGCCGCACCCTGTGCCGAGGCGCGGCGTGGTCGACGTGCGTGTGCTCACGAAGCCGTCCTCGTTCAGTGGTGAGCAGGATGGCAAGATCAATTTCGCAACGTGGTCGTTTCGGATGGTGACGTGCGGCACCGCGCTCTCGACGAGGCTCGGCGAGCTGATGCATGCAGCGGCCGCGCTGGCGAACGGCGAGACGGAGGCCGACCACACCGACCTGAGCGAGGATGACGTGGCGCTGAGCAGCCGGTTGTACCTGATCCTCTCCTCGTCTACGGACGGCGAGGCGCTCGACGTCGTGCGGAACACGGGCGCCGGACGAGGATGCGAGGCCTGGCGCCGACTCGGCAGGATGTGGGAGCCCAGGGCGCCGGCGAGGCTCCGAGGCCTGTTGCAGGCCATCCTCTGCCCCAACTGGCCGGTGGGCTCGGACACCATGGCGAACGTCGCGGCCTGGGAGAAGCAGGTGCAGGACTATGAGAATCAGTCAGGCGACGAGGTCCCAGAGACCATCAGGATGGGCGTGATGACCCAGCACCTGCCGGATGAGGAGCTGCGCAGGCACCTGGTCCTCAACTCGGGCCAGCTCGACACATACCAGAAGGTGGTGAACGAGATCAGGTCGGTGGCCCTGGCTAGGATCCACTGGACGGGGCCGTCGCCCATGGACATCGGTGCGATGACGCGCCAGTGGAGGCCTGGAGCGAGCGACACGAAGGAGAAACTGAAGTGCAGCATCTGCAAGAAGCCAGGCCACCACGAGAAGGACTGCTGGCACAAGGACAGGCCAAGGGCAAGACACCAAAGGGCAAAGGCAAGAGCAAGGGAGACAAGGATAACAGGAAGCATATCATCTGCCACTACTGCGAGCAGGAGGGTCACTACGCACGCGATTGCAGGAAGAAGCAGGCCGATGCAAAGCATGGCAAGGGCAGCCAGGCGAACCTGGAAGACAACGAGGCACCGCGAGCAGCGGCGATGCGCAGCCAAAGCCGCTGAGTTGCTTGACGAGTGTGGACCCGACGAATTGGATGATGCCCCTCATCGACGCCAGCGTGTCGGTGCTGGCGGCTGAGGGTGAGAAGGTGGAGATCCTGGTTGACTCCGGCGCGTCTGCAAACGCGTGCCCCGAGGACTTCGCGCTGGACGGTGCTGGGACAAGGTGCCCCAGCAGGCGGGAGTTCAGGACTGCCACGGGCGAGGTGATCCGCTCGAGTGGCAGGTGCTGAGCCTCATCGGCGACAACACCGATGGCGGGAAGCAGGGGATGACGGTCCCGTTCGAGGTGCTGCCCGCGCAGAGGCCGCTCCTGAGCGTCAAGGCCCTGATGGACGAAGGCTACACGGTGATGATGCGTGACAACGGCCGCGCCATCATGAAGGGTGACTCGGCGATCCCGCTCAAGACGCGGGGCGAGGTGCTGGTGATGGACGTGACGGTCGCGAAGGGGAGCCAGCACCTCAACACAGGTGGCCTCAACAACACCGAGGAGGCCGAGGGCGAGCCGCCCGGGGAGGTCACCGAGGCGAGGGCCGCGCACGCGAGAGGCCTTTGCCGATCGCACCGAGCCCCGAGGAGAGAGCGAAACATCGACTCGCCCGCGTGCCGCTTCGCTCGTGGTGCGATGAGTGCGTCGCGGGCAAGGCTCGCGACTGGGCTCACAGGCGTCTCTACGCCGAGCCGCCGAAGGTGCCGAAGGTCTCGATCGACTATCGGCTACACGCAGGAGTGACCCTGGGTAAGAGTGACCTTTGGTGCGCGGCTTTTTGGGGGCCGCGGGGGGGACCAAACCTGGGCGCGCAGGCCGCTGCTGCCGCTTCGTTGTCAGCCATCTGGGGACCCACCTGTGCCCGCACCAAAGGTCACTCTGGCGAAAGGTCACTCCTACGTCTAGTCGATCGACTACTGCTTCATGGACATCGAGGCCGGCGAGTCCACTGCGACGGTGCTGGCACTCCGGGAGCGGCCATGTGGAGCAGTCGGTGCAGCGATCCTGCCGGACAAGGCTGCGAGCGAGTACGCAGTCAGCTGCATCACGGGCTACATCGACTTCTGGGGCCACACCTCGGTGATCCTCAAGATGGACCAGGAGAATGCAATTGCCAAGACGGCCCAGCTCGTCAAAGAGAGGCGCAGGTTCCCAACGATGATTGAGCACAGCCCGAAGGAGAGCCACGCGTCGAACGGCGAGATCGAGAGTGAGCACTACCACGTGCAGGGCCAGATCCGCACGCTGAAGGGGTCGCGCTTGAGAAGAACACGGGCTGGGTGATCAGTGCGAAGAGCATGCTACTTCCCTGGCTGGCGAGGCACGCAGCCTGGCTGCTCACGAGGTTCGCTATCGGCGCAGATGGTGCGACAGCCTAATTACCTGCGCATGAAGGGGAAGGAGTACAAGGGTGACGTGGCCGAGATCGGTGAGAGCGTGAACTACCGCCTCCCGATGAGGACGCAGATGAAGCTCGACGCGCGTTGGGAGTCAGACGGGGTGTTCCTGGGCAAGCTCGACCTCTCCGACGAGGTGATCGTCGGCACACCGAAGGGCATCGAGACTGTGAGGTCGACACGCAGGAAGGACGACGAGCACAGGTGGAACGCAGAGGCGATCAGGATGTTCGTCGGGGTGCCCTGGAACCCGAGGGTGCTAGTGGCAGACGCCCCAGGAGGTACGAGAAGGAAGTACATCACGCGCGCCCTGATCGCCAAGTATGGGGCGACCGACGGCTGCCCTGGCTGCGCGGGCGACTCGCAGGTGCACGTCCCGAGGTGCCGGCTGCGCTTCGAGAAGATCTTCGAGAGCGAGAAGTCACCAGGAGAGCCGAGGGCGGTGGCACCCAGGGAGGAGGAGCCCACGGCCCCAAGCGGGCCAGCCCAGCAGGCGCCCAGAGGAGTACCGCCACCGGCTGCAGCAGCAGTGGGCGCCGGCAGCGCGAGCGGTGCAAGGCCCGAGCCCATGGCGATCGAGGGGCAGTTTGGCCCCCATGGCGACGAGGTGGTGACAACGCCTCGGACCTCGCCGCGGGGGGTGGTCGACGTCATCGGCACGCCTAGCAGGAGGCTGCGTGAGGGAGCAGACTCGAGCGACGAGGCCATGGCCAAGAGGGCTCGCGAGGTGATGAGCATCATGGAGCTCGAGGTCTGTGAGGAGAGCGAGATCGAGATTGAGTGGGACAGGCTCACGCAGCACGGCAAGATCTACCTGGACATGTACACTGGCGAGGCGCTGGACCCCGAGTTGGTGCAGAAGGGCCGCGAGACCAAGGTCAAGAGGATGCTCGAGTTCGGGGTGTTCGAAGAGATCGACGAGAGCGAGGCCGTCGGCAAGAAGATCGTGAACTCGGACTGGAAGGATTCCCTGAAGCGCGATGGCCTGGTGAGGTCGCGCCTGGTGGCCCAGGAGGTCGTCAAGGGCGACAAGCGCGAGGACGTGTTCGCAGGCGCGCCGCCCCTGTCCGCGATGCGCTACTTGCTGTCGCGGGCGGCAAGCAAGGGGCAGGCGAGGAGCATCGCCACGTACGACGTGTCGGTGGCGTTCTTCCACGCCAAGATGACGGAGGAACTGATCGTGAGGCCACCTGCCATCATGAGGAAGCCCAAGAAGCTCTGGAGGCTCCTGAAGACAGTGTACGGCACGCAGGTGGCGGCGAAGCTCTGGCAGGAGCTGATCCGCGAGACGACCGCGACGGGAGGCTGGGACCCGATCTGGGTGCTCCCCTGCGTATGCTACAACGCGGACGCGGACAGCATGATGATCTACCACGGCGACGACTTCGCCGTCGAGGGCCACGACGAGACGCTGGACAAGTGCGACGCGGTGCTGAGCAACTTCGAGGTGAAGATCGCGCCACGCGTGGGCCCGACTGGGGTCCGCGAGGCCAAGTTCCTGGGCAGGACCCTGACCTGGTGCGAGGAGGGGTTCGGCTACAGGCCAGCGACGAAGCACGTCGACAAGTTGCGCAAGATCCTCAGCATGGACGGGTGCAAGCCGATGGACACGCCAGGCTCGAAGGCCACGGGAGCAAACGTGCGCGACATCGAGGAGAAGTTGAGCGAACACGACGCGGTCATCTTCCATTCGGCCGCAGGCGTGCTGCAGTTCATCGTGCTTGATCGTCCGGAGATCCTGCTCGCCGACAAGGAGATCCGGCAGGCGGTGGCAGCGCCTGACAAGCTCAGCATGATGAGGCTGAGACGCGTGGTACGCTACTTGACGGGAGAACGCGAGTGCTACACCGCCTACCACTACCAGGAGCAGCCGAAGGCCCTCGACTGCTACACCGACAGCGATTGGGGAGGCGCCAAGGTGACACGCAAGTCGACTTCGGCTGGCGTGATCGTGGCAGGGAGCCACTGGCTCGAGGCCTGGTCTGCCACGCAGCAGACTCGGGCCCTGAGCAGCGGGGAGGCCGAGCTCTACGCCATTGTCTCGGGAGCTTCCCGAGGACTGCTGCTGAAGCACCTGGCGAGCGAGGTTGGCGACGACCTGGAGCTGAACATCCTGAGTGACAGCGCAGCGGGCCGTGGCATGGTCCAGAGGATTGGAGTCGGCAAGGTCAGGCACCTTGAGATCAGGTGGTTGTAGCTGCAGCAGGCCCACCACGAGAAGAAGTTCAACATCAAGAAGGTCAGCACCGATGCCAACCTGAGCGACATCGGCACGAAGCACTTGGCGAGGACGAGGGTGCTCGCCCTGCTGGGAAAGATCGGCGTGTTCGTGCAGAGCTCGATGGGTAAGGCGTCCGTGCTCGCGTGTCTGTTCGGGCACACTGAGGGCAAGGCCGCGGAGGTAGCCGAGGAGGGGCCCATCCTGTTCACCATCCTGGTGGCGCTGGTGGTCATGATCATGAGCAACACGGGCGTGACGGTGGCGCTGCTGCGGGGCTGCGGATGCTTGCGGCGGTCGGCGCCTGAGCGGGCGGTGGCAACGCCTGACTCCGGCAGCATGGAGCTCCCGGCAGTCATCTCCAGCAGCGCGGTGGAGGCGAGCTCAAGTGCTACGCCGACTACCACTACCAGGAGCAGGTCGGCGGCCAGCTCGGCCGGCGTGCGGAGGGGAGTCATCACCCAGACGCCGCTGACCTGGAAGAGCTACTGGGCGTCGCCACGCATGGCGCGCCTGCCGGAGGGAGCGGACGGAGCGTTCCCCTGCGAGCTGGATTGAACGGTTCTGAGTTGAGCCCCTGCGCGGGTTCCGTGTGTTCTGAGGCTGGAGGAGCTCGACAAGGAGACTCCACGAGTGCACTCACTAATGCGGACGGTAGGGACGCCTGCCTGAGTCGGCAGCCTGAGGAGCTGTCGCTGCGAGTTGCTTCAGACTTGTGGAATGCCCGACACGCTGAGGCGAGCGTGTCTGTGGGCTGTACAGTAGAGCCTGTGTCTGACCAGAGGCCGCCCTTCGCTGCTGACAGCTCGGTCGAGTAGGGATGCTGGTGTCAGACACATTGCATGTACATTCACGTATGCACATGTGTGTCACAGCAGATCGTTTAAGGTAACGTGTTTGTCTTGTGTTTGGCTCAAGCTGCTGAGAAAAGATCCCCTTTCTCCCCGACTATATTCGCAGGTTTGTAAAACAAAAAAGGTTACCAGTACGGAAGAACAAAAAGGATTAGCCCTTCGAAATGAAAGTTCAACAACAACAACAACAACAACAACAACAACAACAACAACAACAACAACAACAACAACATCCACAACAACCACAACCACAACCACAACCACAACCACAACAACAACAACAACAACAGCGGCAGATGCAGCAGCAGCAGCAGAGCGGCAACAACATCAACAGCAACAGCAACAGCAACAACAGCAGCAGAAACAACAGCAGCAACAACAACACGCACAACAGTATCTGCAATAGCAGCCATCAGAACCGTCATAGTCACCATCGTCATAATAAGAATACTAAGAACAACCACTCAAATGATACTAATAATAGTAATACTAAAAACAAGACAAATTATAATGATTATACTAATCATCAGCATCATCATCAGCATCATCATCAACGACAGCATCATCAAAATCATCGTCATCGTCCTCACCACCACCACCATCATCGTCAACACAACAAACATCACCACCATCATCGTCATGGCTATTATCCCCATCGTCGTCAGCATAAGCTGCTGCAGCAATGAGCATCGTCAACATCATCATCATCATCAGCATCATCATCATCATCATCATCATCATCATTATCAGCATCACCATCCTGATCCTCATCGTCATCACCAGCATCATCCTCATTATCATCATCAGCATAATCATCAGCATAATGTTCCCAAACATCATCATCAGCATCAGCATCAGCATTATCATCATCATCATCATCATCATCATCAGCATCATCATAATAATAATCAGCAGCATCATCATCATCATCAGCAGCATCATCATCCTCGTCGTCGTCATGGACATCCGTATCATCATGACCACCATCCTCGTCTGCTGCATCATGGATCATTATCAGCAGCAGCAGCCATCAGCAATATCAGAATGATGATGAGTATGTTAAGTATCGTCGTCAGCATCTTCACCATGATCACCAACAACAGCAACAGCATCATTATCATCATCAGCTGGATCATAATCCTCATGATCCTCATCATCATCAGCATCAGCATCA